TTCTAGGAAAACTTTCAAGCCGGTTTTAACAAGAAATATTCTTTTAAAAGGAGATTTATTAGAAAGTTTATGCTAGGAAGACTTGATGATTTTAGAAGCCGGTTTTAGCAAGAATATTGAGATTTTTTTTAAAAGAGATTTATTAAGAAAGTTTATGCTAGGAAGACTGATGATTTTAGAAGCCGGTTTTGCAAGAATATTCTGAGATTTTTTTTTGAAAGGAGATTTATTTAAGAAAGGTTTATGCTAGGAAGACTTTATGATTTGAGAAGGAAACGGTTATACCAAGATTTGAAGCCAGGAAAATAAATCGATTTGAGAAAGAAATATCCAAACCGATTTCGTGAGAAAAGTTTGTTCTAGGAAAACTTTCAAGCCGGTTTTTAACAAGAAATATTCTCAGAATTTTTTTGAAAGGAGATTTTTTAAGGTTTTAACAAGAAATATTCTGAGATTTTTTTTAAAAGGAGATTTATTAAGAAAGGTTTATGCTAGGAAGACTTTGAAGATTTTAGAAGGAAACGTTTATACCAAGATTTTGAAACCAGGAAAATAAATCGATTTTAGAAAGAAATGACAAACTTTAAAGCGATTTAAGGAGAAAGTTTCATTTATTAAGAAATTTGTGAAGCTAATTCTCTTCAGCAAAGCAAATTCTAAGTAATCTGTGAAGCAAATTTTGGAAAGAAAAGCTATTCCAATGAAGACTTTGAATGTCGGTTTTGATTCGAAATAGATTATTCTATATCGTTTTTGAAACATCTATTTAAGGAAAAGCTGGTTCTAAGAATATATTTTTTTCTAATTCTCAAAAACAAAGGTTATTTTAAGGAGACCACGAAAGCACAAAAAAAAAAAAAAAAAAAAATACATAGAGTGATTTCGTTATACATACTTTTTTTATCTGCTTTAAATTAATTGAATTCTCTTTCTTTATTATCGCAATTCTCAAAAGACTGAAAGAGATTTTTAAAAAATGGACGGAAGGCTTCAGGGGAAAACATATTAAAAGATACATTTATTTCTTTTACCTTAACTTTCTTTTGCCTATTTTGAGTTTCCTTAATCTTCTTAATTCAATGCATGATTTAATTTTCATTTTCATTTTCTCTCTCTCTATTCTTCTTGTTCTTTTCCTGAAGTGAAATTATTGTTCTTTCTTTTAACGCAATGATTTTTGTTATTTCTGTTTCATATTTTTGTTATGTCTTTATCGGAAATAATGACTGTATGATGACATTTAATTACGATGTGCAATATATAAAAAAAAACAAATAGATTGTGTCTTTCTGAAATTTGAGGAAAATTTGAAAGACGAATGCTTTTAATCTCAGTTAATTTCCTTTTGACAATCTCGTCTGTTTTATGCCTTTCTCTGCAACTGCTGTTTGTTGCAGTGGTTTCATTTTCTCTTTCGCTGTTTATCTTTCTGTTATACGTATTCTCATTCTTACGCTGTCCCTTTCTCCTTTTTCCTTTCCCTTCTCTCTCTCTTTTTGTCTTTCTCTTCTCTTTTCCTCTTGCTCTCCTTCTCTCTTGTCTCTCCTTCTCTCTTGCTCTCTCTCTTTGTCTCTCCTTCTCTCTTGCTCTCTCTCTTGCTCTCTCTCTCTCTCTCTCTCTCTCTCTCTCTCTCTCTCTCTCTCTCTCTCTCTCTTCTCTCTCTTCTCTCTCCTCTCTCTCTCTCTCTCTCTCGCTCCTTCTTCCCCCTCTCCCTTTCCCTCTCTCTCTATCTAACACTCTCTCTCTCTATCTGCTCTCCCTTCTCTCATAACCTCTCTCTCTCTCTCTCTCTCTCTCTCTCTGCTCTCTCTCTCTCCTCTCTCTCTCTCTTCTCTCTCTTCTCTCTCTCTCTCTCTCTCTCTCTCTCTCTCCTTTCTCCTTCTCCTTTCTCCTTCTCTCTCCTTCTCCCTCTCCTTCTCCTTCTCCTTCTCCTCTCTCTTTCCTTCTCCTTCTCCTTCTCCCTTTCCCTCTCTCTCTATCTAACTCTCTCTCTCTCTCTCTCTCTCTTATCATTTGCTAATTCCTCCATCTTCCTATTACATCCGCTGAATCAGAGCCAATCTAGGAAGCTTTAATTATCTCATCTAAGTATAAACTGCTAAATACTAAGCTCTTAACTTTCCAATTATCTTTTTCTTTCTAATTATTCTTCATTTTCTTCTCTTTTTCTTTCTTTCTTTCTTCTTCTGTCATTTTTTTCTTCTTTATCTTTCTTTCTTTTTTCTTTTTTCTTTCTTTCATTTTCTTCTTTTTTTTTCTTTTTTTCTTTTTTTTCTACAACATTTGCTTTTCTTTTCCTTCTTTTTCTTTCTCTTCCTATTTTCTTTTTCTATTTTTTTTCTTATTTTTTTCCTTTTCTTCTTTCTTCTCATTTCTTTCTCTTCCTGTATTTTTCACGTTCTTTCTTCTGCTTCTTCCTTTTTTTCTTCATCTTTGTGAATTTGTACTTTTGTTTTATCATTCATTTTTTCCCATCACTTTCCACATCAAAACGTGTTATCTCTCTCTCTCTCACCTCTCTCTCTCTCTCTCTCTCTCTCTCTCTCTCTTCTCTAATATATATATTAATATATATATATAATATATATATATATATATATATATATATGTATATATTATATATATATAGTATATTATATATATAATATATATATATATATATATAACCCCCCCCCTCTCCTCCTCTCTCTCTCACACACACACACATACCATACAATATATATATATATATATTATATATATATAATATATATATTATATATAATATATATATAAACACACACACCACACACACACACACACACACAACACACACACACACACACGACACACACACACCACATCACACACAAACACACACACACACGCATATTATATATATATATATAATTATATATATATATATATATTATATATATATATAATTATATCATATGTGTGGTGTGTGATGTGTGTTGTAATTTTCTTATTTTACTGTAATTGCTCTAAACTCCCATTCACACCAACGAGTGTTTTCATAAATACGAAAGTGGTCATAACATCTACTTACTTACTTCAAAACATTGCATGAAATCACTTAAACTCAGTTAAATCATAACTTGTCCATGCCAGTTTTTTTTCTTAAAAACCATGGTGAGGAATATGTTGTTTTTTTTTTATTTGAGATTTTGTGATCTTCCTACTTATCATAATATTTTGTATTACCCTTTATTCATTCATCTTTATGTCATTATCTGTGGTTCTTTCTTCGTTATCTTCATCTATCCTTTTAAGTATAATTTCGTTCTGTGTCTGCTATTTCCTACAGATCATTTTTCGATAATCCACTCTATATATCATTTTGTGATCATAGATAAATGGTAAGACAGATAGCAAAAAACAACAGATATAATTAATATTCTCTTTTTCATCATCATCATTACGCAGTTCGTTATATACAAGGTGTCGCCTAAGATTGATTCGGTGAGAGAAGCGTTTGGGCGAGGGGCGGGCGGGAGGCACGCTATTACGAATCAGAAAAGAAAATGATGATAACAATGATAAATGATAAAAAGGTTGTAGTAATGCCGATGATTGGGGATTTTTAATAGTGATAACTGATAATAATAATCACATGAGTAATTGATAATGATAATAGTGATAGTAATGATACTATATATAAAATAATCGATAATTAGAAATGATAGTTTGAAAATTAATAATAATGATAAGATAATGATGATGATTAATAACAATAATAATGCATAAAATGATAGTAATAATAATAATAATAATGATAATGATAATAGTTAAATGACAGTGATAATGATAATAATGATGATAATAATATAATAATATAATGATAATAATAATATATAATAAATAATAATAGCAATAATAATGATGATGATAATAATAATAATAAAGAGAATGATGATATAATATAATAATAATTAATATATAATGAATGATAAATGGAAAATAAAGATAATGGCAATAGTCAATGAACAACTAAAATAGATAAACAAATGATAATGACATTGAAAATAACATCTGCTCCACTGTCAAGAACGAAGGGTTGGGGGGGGGGGGGGGTCAGGGGTCCTCTGATACCCCAAGCCTTATCGTCATTGTTATCATTACTCACAACAGTCACGTGAACCATCAAAATCATTAATGAACGCTAACACAATCTTTAAGGAGAAAAAAAAGTGAATGTGTCTATTTTTAACCAGAATGAGGTCACATTTCCATCATTCTTTTGTGCGAATTGTATGTCAAAATATACCTTCCTTCAACTTAATAGAATGATATTACATAATTCTAGAGGAAGAATAACAGTGATATAACCACCAATCAGATCTATTTTATTATAAATTATATGAAAAAAAATGAAATAGTGCCACCAATCAGATCTATTTTATTATCAAATTATATATATAAAAATAATATAATAAATAATGAAATTGTGATTAAGAAGAAATTGCTTGTCTCTCTGACATGTTGTTATAATCTCACAGTGTTAAGATTTCAACAAGGTTTAAAGACCAGCCTGAGGGAAGTGGTCGGGGGGCGTGGCTTATTTTGCAGGGGCGTGCGTGAGGGGTGGGGAGGGAGGGAGGTCATGCTTTTATAATGTTCCCCTCTCACTCTCTAATTCTATTCTGTGTCTGTTTGTATGACTGGTATTTGTCTGTCTGTCTGTCTCTGTATCTGTGTGTGTGTGTGCGTGTGCTATTCTGACCATATATGTATCTGGCTTTAATAAATATAATTCGTCTTTTCTTTTTAATTCGACATTCAATCTATCTCCTCTTCTCTCTCTTCTCTCATCTCTCTCTCCTCTTCTCTCTCTCTCGTTCTCTCTCCTTCTCTCTCTCTCTCTCTCTCTCTCTCTCTCTCTCTCTCTCTCTCTCTCATCTCTCTCTCTTACTCTCTCTTCTCTAATCTATCTATCTATTCTATCTATCTATCTATCTCTCTCTTCTCTCTCTCTCTCTCTCTTCTCTCTCTCTCGTCTCTCTCTTCTCTCTCTCTTCTCTCTCTGCTTCTCCTCTCTTTCTCTCTTTTCTTCTCTACTCTCTTCTTCTCTTCTCTCTCTTCTTCTCTCTTCTCTCTCCTCATCTCCTCTCTCTCTCTCTCCTCTCTACTCTCTCTCTCTCTCTCTTCTTCTTCTCTCTCTCGCTACTCTCTGCTGACTCTCTCTTCGCTCTCTCTCTCTCTCTCTCTCTCTCTCTCTCTCTCTCTCTCTCTCTCTCTCTCTCTTCTCTCTCTCCTCTCTCCTCTAGTCTCTCTCTCGTCTCTCTCTCTCTCCTTTTTCTCACTCCACCCCCCAACCCCTTCATCAACATCCTTTTCTAACCACATCTTCCTCCAACTTTCCCCCACACACACACACACACCCCCCTTCTCCCACATCCCCACACCACCCCACACCAACCACCCAACACCACACCACCCACCACCTTCCTCCCCTCCCACTCCCCCCTACCTCCTCCCCCCCCACCCCCCATCCCCTCCCACCCCCCCTCCCACCACCCCCTTTCATCCCCCACCCCCTTCATTCACCCCCCTCTAAACCTATCCCTCTCCCTCCTCCAGGCACCGCACGCCCTTAGGAGACATGAGGGCCGTCGAAGTGGCGAGAAGGGGCGTGACCTTGCTCCTGCTGGTGGTGGCTGCGGCGGCGCTGACGGCGGCAGAGGGCGTCAGGGTAAGGCACTTTGTTTTGTTTTGTTGGTGAGGTGGTGTAGAGGAAGGTATTGTTATTGTTTTTTTGTTGTTGTTAGGTGTGTATTTGTTTTTGTTTGTTAGGTTGTGTTTTTGTTTGTTTGTTTTTTGTTTCTTTTTGTCTTTTGTTTTTGTTTGTTTGTTTGGTAGGGTAGTGGTAGAGTAAGGTATTGTTTCTTTTTGTTTTTGTTTCTTTGTTAGGTGGTGTTTTTTTGTTTTTGTTTTCTTTGTTAGGTGGTGTTTTTGTTTTTTGTTCTTTTTTTCTTTGTTTGTCTTTGTTTTTGTCTTGTTTGGTAGGTAGTGGTAGAGTAATGGTATTGCTGTTTGTTTGTGGTGGTAGGGTAAGGCACTGTTGTTTGTTTTAGTGTGTTTGTTTTTGTTTGTTTTGCAGATGGCAGGGTGAGTCATTATTGATTGTTTGTTTATTTGTGTACTGGTCTTGTTATATTTTTGTTAGTGTTGTTAGTCTTCTTGCTGTGTATGATTGTGTTGTTCTATTTTTTTTTCTATAATGCTACTTTTTGTTGGTTGTTAAAGGGATAACAAAACACACACCGCACACACAACACACGCACACCACAGCCGCACACACACCACACACACACACACACACACACACACCACACCCACACACACACACACACACACACACAACCACACACGACACACACACACACACACACACACCAACACGCACACACAAGCCACACACACACACACACACACATACACACACACAGCCACACACACACACACGCACACGCACACACAGGCCACACACACACACAACACGGCACACACAGCCACACACACCACAAACGCACACACAGCCACACACACCACCACGCACACCAGCCACACACACACCCACAACACACACGCACACACAGCCAACACACAGACACACACACACACACACCACACTACCCGCCCCCCACATATCCAACCTCCAGCTGACCACAATATTTTCCACAGCGACCAGTGTTGTGACCCGAATTGAGACGGCGGTGGGTAGACCAGAGCTAAAATACACCCACACACGTTACACACAAACGCACACCACAGTTTGTTAGATCTCTCTCGAAAATATGATGATAATTTTGCTAGATGAATTCTGTATCTTCATCATCATTATTATCATTATTATTATTATTGTTATTGTTGTTATTATCATTATTACTATTATTATCATTATTGCTATTATCATTATTATTATGTGTTATTTATTATTACTATTATTATTATATATTATATTATTATTTTATTATTATTATTATTTGATAATTATCATTATTATTATCACTATTATTCATTTATTATTACTATTATTACATATTGTATTACATTACTATTATATACATTATCATTATTACTTATCATCATTGTTATTACCATTATCATTAGCATCAATATCATCATCATTATTTATCATTATCATTAGCATCAGTAGCATTTATTATCCTCATTATCATCATTATCATCATCATTACACACGGACATAAAAGAAGTGAACCTATTTCTGGCAACACGCTCGCCACTCCGAGTGCCACACCTTCAAGACATTAAAAAAAAACTTTCTCAAGGTGTGGGTGAGATTTCTTTATTAATGTGGGGAATAATGGTTTTATTCTCAGCTAATAGAGAGTGATTGATGGTGACACTATTATTTTGTATTGGCAAAGTGGTTTATAGGGTGTGGCTGGGGAGGAAACTTTTTTTTGTTCTTTCTCTTTCTTTCTTTCTTTCTTTTCTTTCTCTTTCTTTCTTTCTTTGTTTGTTTCTCTCTTTCTT